ACACACACACACACACAAAAACTAGTCCTATGACTTCCTTTTAACTTTTATTCACTTTTTTACATGCTTACATTTATAGTTTATGCAAATGTATGTATGGAAATTACTCTTAAACACACATTATTCCCTTCTTCTTTTATCATTCATAGTAAATTGAGAATAAACATTGACATAACAGTCGCCATGAAATGCCAGCGTGAGTATCCCCCACCTTCTTTGTCATTCACTTGCAATTATTTACTTATTTTAAGTGCATTAAAAATGTAAATATGTGTGACTTAATGCAGTGATTGCATGCATTTTATGTCTGTGATCGCAGATGTTGGAGCAGATATTCTGGACCTGGCTGAGACCATGATCACATCCAACGGCCTCCAGTACGAGCCTGTGAGTACAGCAACGTCTCCAAACTTCAGGTTGTGTTGGATTCTGCTTAAACAGATTAAAATTGGTTTTCTTTTCACTGCTTTTCACAACTGCATCTCTCTCTCTCTCTTTTGTTTGTTCAGGCTATTTTTGAACTGACCCCACAGCAGAGACTGTGGCAAAGGTAAGCATTTATGAAATCACACAGGGAGATACTGTAACAAAAAAAAGTCTTGTAGTGTCAAATTTGAAGGCTTCCGTACAGTTAAGTACACTGTTTTATGTCTTAGATTTAGTTTAAAATGTCTATAATGTCTTGTTTTTATTGAAGTTGTTTAATTTTACATTGTAATTATCATTTTAAAGACCTTAAAACGTGTATTTAAGATGATTTTGTGGCCAGGGGAAGGTTGAAACTATGTAGAAAAACTGGAATCGGTCATTACAGATTTGGTATGATAACATTCCTCTTCCTCTCTGAGGTTGTTTTTGAAGCGCTCAGGTGTTTGCAGCAGTCAGAGAAACTTGCAAAAGTACATTCCAGTTACAGTTTGGTGCCAACCTGTTTTTTTGCCCTCAGGACGTTGACTCTCATACAGAGCAGGCTGAGAGAGGAACACGCTCTTCAAGAAGTCCTTTACAAAACTCTCCTCAAAGGAGGTCCCACTGCCCTGCCCCCGAGGTCAGTTTCATACGTGCAGACTAACAAGGTCTTCATTAATTTTAGCCTGTTAGATATACTGCTAAACAATTAGGGAGTTAAATGATGTGCTCAATAACTGTGTGTGTGTGTGTGTGTGTGTAGGGAGGATGCCTCTATGGAGCCGCTCAATGCTTGCAGGATTCATGGGCATGTCTATGTCAACAAGGTGGCAGGGAACCTACACATCACTGTGGGAAAGTAAGAAACTATACGTATTGTCAAAATGTGTTATTAGATATAATTAAAGATTGTTTAGCTCCATTTAAAAACTGCTGTAAATTCATTATCATTATCTAGCTGAATCATTTGTTTAAGTATGAAAGCTATAAAGATGCCAGTTGTTTTGTGCTGCTCTTGTCTTTTTCAGGCCCATTCACCATCCTCAGGGTCATGCCCACATTGCAGCTTTCGTGAGCCACGAGAGTGCGTAACTCTTTTTCTGATTATGCTTTGATTTGAAAAACGAGGAGACAGCAAAAAGAGCAATTTTCAGCTGACATTGCATATATCTTCCTGAGGACATTTAATTTACTGAATACGAAAGCAGGTTTTTACACAAATAATACTATTAAATGTTGCATTTTAGATCATTATTAGTAATCTTTTAAAATGGCACTATATACAGGCTGTTTCATTTAGAGCTTGTTCAGCGATTCCCCACGGCCTTGATTGAACTTGAGCTTCCTCTCATCTTTGCATTACAGCGTACAACTTCTCCCATCGAATAGACCATTTATCTTTTGGAGAGGAGATACCAGGCATTATCAATCCTCTGGACGGCACAGAGAAAATCACCTATAACAGTAAGTTACTGCTATTTTTCAAGAGATAGGAGAGGATAAAACACATGATGGAGTGGTTTTCTAGCACAGTTTTCTGCAGAATTAATGACGCGTTGAGAGATTTAGTTGAATTGTGAGTTGACCCGTACTCTCCTTAGCTCACCTTATACGGTCACTGCTAAGATAGTACTATAGGAAATAATACAGATAGCACGATGGTGGAGTTAATTAAGTTTCATTTTGAGTTGCTTCAGCTATAGTTGACATGTTTTTCCTTCTTGAAATTGATATAAGCACCTAAAATATTGAGATTTTTCACATACTATTCCTGTGTTTTACTACAGATAACCAGATGTTCCAGTACTTCATCACAGTGGTTCCAACCAGACTGAACACATACAAGATATCTGCAGACACACACCAGTTTTCTGTGACTGAGCGGGTGAGTAAAGAAGGATTTAAATCTCAAGAATACCACATCATCTTTTACAAAGCGGTCTCGTAACAAAAAAAAAAGAAAAAAGAGGAGGGTTGGAGCAAGGAGGGAGAGTTTAAGAGAAACCCGGGACAACACTGACCACCATTGCTGTCTGTTTCCAAGGAGCGGGTGATAAACCACGCAGCGGGCAGCCACGGCGTTTCCGGCATCTTTGTGAAGTACGACACCAGCTCTCTGATGGTGACGGTCAGTGAGCAGCACATGCCAGCCTGGCAGTTCCTGGTGCGACTGTGTGGCATTATCGGGGGTATATTCTCCACAACAGGTATGTTTGGTTTGACCTGAAATCTTATTATTTTTATCTTAATATTTGTTTTATTTGTTTATTTAAACAGGGACAACACAGATAAACAATGTCACATCGGAGGAAGACATTGGCAATTCTTCAAAACATTATGTATATGCTTTTTGACACCTAATTGTTAAATATTAAATTTTTTTTCTGAATTTAATCACTTCAGTTTTGCACTCTTAAACTTTGTAGGGTTCAATATCTTCAGTAATTGAACTCTTAGAGCCATGAAATTTGGCATTCTTTAGGGTGTGAAAATAACAAAATTCCCAGGGGCAACAAACAATGCATTAAAAATTCACTAAACATATTAAACAGAATTTATTTTTGGTGTCAAATAGCATATACATAAAAGTATTCAAGTAGTAATTTAAACAAAAACCTCTATATGATTTGACACGCAATGAATCAAACATATGTTGATGTAATGTATATGGGCTGTTAAGCTGAAGTTAATTCACAGCCCTGATTTCTATGCTTTTAATTTCAAAGTAAAGCTAATAAATACACTGCTTTAAAGGATTTATTGGAACAAGTAATTCAATCTAGGTTTGACTTAAAATGTAAAATATAATTTGTGCATTTATCTCTGTGTGCTGCTCTCTCTTTAAAGGCATGCTTCATGGGCTCGTTGGCTTCTTTTTTGATGTCATCTGCTGTCGCTTCAAACTTGGAGTCTATCGGCCCAGAGAGGTGAGTCTAACCTTATTCAAAACACGGGTTTCTAATGTGTCTTATTTCTCTGTCTGTATTAAAAATCACTGGAAACTTCACCAGGAAATAGCTCTAATAAACTCCTTGTGCTAAATCTGTTCTAGGGTGCACAGCTACACAACCAGATGAACAATCTAAACAATCACCAGACGGCTGACAATGTCCCTCAGGAATAGCTGTTTTTCAGTGACCAGGCTTTTGGCCATTGTTAAAGTGCTGAGTCTGCCTTTTGCATTGTTTAATGGTGAGGAGATTACATATTGTATGACTTACAGTAGGAGAGAAGGTGTAATCGTCAGAGGATTTCCTGTGTTATTTAATATTGTTCAGTTTATTTTTTTTAAATTGTCAACATTCCCATATGTCTTGAAATTGTGTTTTTCTACTGAAAAGGGGTTAAGCGGTCTGTCTGACTGTCCTGTTAACTTGAAAATAGTGAAGTTCACATCAGATCATTGCAGGAAAATGTGTGCCCTGTGACTGTAGTCATACATGTGTTTTTAAACATTATTTCCTTGTGATGGAGTTTGTTTCTTTAGAAACATTGTAAGCTTTCTGTTCCATTTGCTGTAATAGCACAAATCCATTAAAAGATAAAAATAGCCATAAATTAAAAAATACCAGTGCAGTTATTTCATAGCATTAATGTGTGGAAAATGTTTACATCTTCAGTAAAGTCCCAAGTATGGATGGTCTTCACATACTTGGATTGCTGAAATGTGAACCACTTCATTGGATGCAGGTAGAAAAATGTAAATGATCATCTTTTGGCCTTTAGTGTAAATCCATATTTTAAGACTTAAAAATTCCAGAGTTTAAGGGTGGACTATTTCTAATAACTAGTATTTTAGGTGCAGCAAGTGAGCATATTGAAAAATTAACAAGCTTATAAAGACTGAATAGCCTGAGAATGAAAGAAAATTAGCTCATTTGAAGCCTGGAGACACCTCGAGAAAATAAAGGACTACAGAGCTTAAATTAAAACTCTTCTACAGTTGAAAAATATCCCTAAAACCCATGTAACTGCACAAAAGCTTAAAGGGTACTCCAAGTGTTGTACTTGTATTGGGGGACAGATTAAATATCATGACTTTTAGTCCCTAGTATATGAATCAAGCTCCAAAAACCCTGGATCCTACATTTCCCATAATGAAGCTAGATAGTATCTTTTGTTAGAGCCTATGGTAAATGCCTGTGACTTTCAAACTACATGCACTCACTTTATAATGCAGACACTTTCTGCTATTAATTAGTAGCCTTTGAATCCAAGCTGCAATAACTAGGGAATTTTTTTTCACACTTAGTATAAGAAGAAACAGAAAATAAACAAAATGGCCATGACAAGTAAACTGACCTTGATGTGTAAAATCAGAATACATCTCCTATTTGCACATCATTAAAACAAAAAAGTATCAGTATAACGTAACTGGTAATTTTGAGGTTTTGTTAAGAAGTTTAATGGACTGCGGCACACTTTTTCCTCTTCGACTTTATTTTAATTTTGCCAAAGCAGACTTGAATGAAGTGTTGTCAGAGCAGGTAATGAAGGTGGTCAAACATTTTGCAAATGACAGCAGAAAATATAAGATGAAGTCATTGGTTACGTGTTGCTGTTTGTTACATACAGTAACACAAGTTCCACCCTGGGGTTTCCCGTACCAACAGTGCTCCGCGTTTGATTTGCAAATTTGGTCAGAACAGACACACAGAAGAGCAAAACTCCAGAACGACACCAGTATAAAAACCCTGTAGCTCTGTAAGAACAAATTCTGACGAAGCCACTTCATCATACAGACCTCGTACAACTGCAGACATTTCTGTTACTCTGAAATCAAGAGGACAGTTACCATGACTACACCACAGACAGGGGCAGGGCTTTGCATAAACATTTATTTAGTTTTGTCCCTTTTCTCCCATAAAGGCTCATATCTGTTATGTATTTGTATTGAGTCAAGCCTTGCAACACATACAATACTGTACACAGTTTTCTTGTTTGTTTAGTAAAAATCAGACTTGCCTGTCACACTTAACACTTTTGGTAGACTCTGTGGGAAGCTCTGTGGTGGAATCCTGTGAAGACACTCACCAAGCATAAATCAACAGTCAAAATTTTTGGTAGTCTATAAGAATAATATGTAGTTCAACTATTTACAGATCTTCTAAACTGGAGTCAAGGATGTAATACCAGGAGGGCCTCAAGTCTTTCGTCTATAACCTTGCACTTTTGTGATTTAGGTCCAGTAATACTAATTTATAGATCAGTTTGTCTTGCTTAAAAATACTCGTCCATCTCTCCATCAGGTAAGGTATGGTGACCCTCAGGGCTCCGTACTTGGTCCAATACTTTTCACAATATTCTTCCGTTCTGAGGAATCCTTTGTAGCTGTAGCGTGAAGTTTTGCTCTTATGCAGATGACACTCAACTCTATATTGAAATTAAGTGTAGTGATTGCACTGTGCTCTGTGCAGTTTACTGGCTGTCAAAAGTGGTTTCAAAAAGATATTTATTCTAATGCGCTTTTTTTGGTTTAATTGGAAAAATCCCAGCTTTCAAGTCAGTACAATGCTATGAGCACTCAAAAATCAACCAATTGTAGCCTCCCTGCATTGGCTTCCTTATTCACACTAGGAACGTTTTTTATTGTCTCCCCGAACATATAAATATATGGTCTTTCTCAGCCATAACAAACCTCATAACTTCAGTATCCAGAGGCCTGCCTCAAGGACTAAAAGAAATCTTTCATCCAGATGGTTAGAGTCTTACCTCCTGGGTTTTTTAGACATCTGTGGGTAATTATTTTACAAAGAAACGGATGGTTACCACAGTGACTCAAATGTAATGCTTATACATGAGGCACAAACTGGAACTAGGTCTCCTCCATCTTTACTTGGTCCTCCAACCTCACATACCAACAATCTTGGACATGGAAGTATGTCAATCATTGATATTGGACATTTTCAACTGGACCCATTCCTTGGACTTTTTGATTTTGGATTTACTATATTAACATTTGACCCCCTTGTCGCATTTGGCATTTCTAACTATTACAACTTAATGTGAATTTGTAATTTCCCACCTATGGTTCTTATTTAACCCCCACCTGTCTGAGGAGAGGGAGGTGGGGTGTCCCCTCTTTGAAATGCCTTTTGAGGTTTTGGGTGAGTTGGTCCCAAGAAAACTTGGGCTCGGTTGTTAACAGTTGGGAGACATTGTACAGTATGTGATACTGAACTATACAAAGAATCTTGACTCTGTTTTACTCTTATTTATATATAATACACTGCCAAGGTCTACCACATATATCAGACTAGCTTTTGATGCAAGTATAAAGATGTAAAAGTAGTAAACTTAGTTTCAGTACAAACTGCTGTACAAACAGGCAAAAAGTGGATGAGCATTCAAACAAACAAGGTTTATGTTCAAAGACATACTGACATTATCATATGTGACAGTAAATAAGTGACAACCTCAACAGCAGGGAAGATGGCAGATCTGTATGTTTTGGGATACTGTTGTCTTGTGTGGTCAGAATTTAGCTTTAATACTAGTCTCAAAAATCTGTTGATTGGCTTCGAGACAAATAACCACCGCTTAGTGTTTGGGTGTATTCTTAAAAAGGCAGTAGATACACGTAATGCATACAAGACATACAGATATCCAAATCACCTGCGTATTAAAGGAGGAATAGGATATCCCCACAGTAAAAAACAGAGAACCAAAATAATCTTATAGAAATCGTCCTTCACTGAAGCACTGCCATATTTCAAGTATGAAAAAAAATTATCACAAGGCAAGGCAATGTACCTAGATTTAAGAGGATGGGAACAATGATGTGGAGAAGAAAATGGAAGTCACACAAAAGGCTTATTGTTGCATATATAATTGGCCACTTTGAGAAGAAAAAGGTAGATACAAAATAAATGACGACACTTTTGGACGGGATCTGGTGACTGAACAGTACAGGTACTGATGATTTCTAAACTAAACAAAAAATTCATGGCTAGTAGATCTCTTTTTCTCCCTTCTGAGTGCTTCACTCAACTGCAGCCCCCACCTGTAGAGAGCCCCTTGCTAATCCACACTCAAAGGAGGATTTAAAGTGTCCTTTGTGGATGGCCAGAGTCTCAGATGTTACGTCCTGCCGTCTCTGGCTTGAGGTGGTGAGAAAGATTCAGTTGGTTATGGTGCTGGATGCGCGGAAGTAGGAGAGGAACTTGAAACAGAGGCTGACCACAAAGTACCAGATGTTTCTGGCCATCTGTGAGCGGGCGATAAACACCCTCCAGATGAAAACGACCAACAGGGTGTTGAAGGTGTAGCGGATGTTCCTCAGTCTGGGAAAGAGGAAAAAGAGAAGGAAGAGTTTTTATAAACACAGACATAATGATAAAAACATTAAACATTGTATTGTATTAGCATTTTTTCCAGGAAATGTAGTTGTGTAGTATTATGAATCCTGAATACACTTTCTTATCATATGGGTAAGTTTGATAATTTATGGCAATGCTATAATTTATCATATTTTTATTTTATATAGTGTCACCACCACCAGCAGATGGTAGCTTTGTGATTAAGAAAAAAAACCTTATTTTCCTGGGGTTTCATTTTATTACAATTATTTTAAATGCAAATGTTGACTTTTATGCAAACTGTCTAGCCTCTTAAGTAAATAGACTTACTTCCTCAGATGCTGCCTGGCAGCAGGAATGTCAGACATGTCTTCATTCAGGACGTACTTCTTGGTGCCAATGCAGTAATTCTCGATGTACTCAGGCCAGTTCAGCTGGCGCACATCAAAGTTGAATGTCTGCAAGATAGAAAAGACTGTTAGGAGAGTGTTCAGACAAAAAACAAGGCTGTTGAATGTTAATTGAAAAATGAATATGAAATTCCACTCTCAATCACTAGATGGAGCAATAGACTCCATAATACTATTAGGAAGCCTCCAATGAGCAGAGGGAATATTTCCTTAACTGCAAGTTCTCTCAACCATAAGGGTTGAATTACTTTTACTTGAAATGAAAGCACAGTATTATTAGTAAAATGTGCTTAAAATGGAGAAAGCTGCTTAACAGAATGTTATATTACTAGAGTTATACTATTGTACTATTACTGAAGCTACAAGCAGTGAACACAGCTGCATCAGTGTGTACTTTGTATACTACGGGGTAGTTTAATCTATAGCAATTAATCATATTTTACACGGATCATGTGGTTTTTATGAAAAACCTTAATCTGCAAGGGACTGTAACTATAGCAGTCATGTAAATGTAGTAAAAAATAGAATATATGCAATATTTCCATCTAAAATGAAGTTAAATATAAGTATAAAGTGGCTCAAAATAGTACAAAAATAAAGTAAATGTACTTAGTTATAATCTACCACTGTAGTCCTTGGAGTCTGTTGTAATTTGCACAGAGCTTCAGGTGGGTTAGAAGAGATTTATAACGACCTTTCAGATGAGACTTATGAGCAAATATGCTTGTTCAGACTGTCTTACAGGATGGGTCAGTAGTTAAAATATTTGGCCCCAAACTGCCATCATGTACAGTTACCTTCCTGTCCTCTGGGGTTAACTGGCTCATCAGCATGTTCATGTTCTCAGAGTTCCACTCCCAGTCCTGACTACTGAAATACTCCAGCAGGCCGATAGCCTTGTGCAGACGGTTGAAGATGCGCATCATCCTAAAGTGAGGGGGGGTCAGAGGTTACCACACACTTGAACTTCTCTTTAGTTTTCAAGTACGAGACAGATAACTGCGAGTCTTACTGCGGCTTTTGTCCAGAGAGTCGCAGGAAGAGGTCGTAGATGAGGGCAGGGAACTTGTGGCTGACTAGGATCCAGTACTGGTTGATCAGGTAGTTGGAGGTGATGTTGGCGTTGGGTCTGCGGAAAGCCTGCTCCAGTGGGTTCCTCTTGAAGGACGACATCACATGGTGCTCTGAAAAAGTTGTACGGGTAAAGGGGGTTAATAAGATAACAAAACACAGCATTCATCTCTGAGATAATGGCTCATAGTAAGTGCTTAATGCTAGCCTTGCTTTAGCCCCAGAGATGGTGGACGTTTCTACCAGCTGTTTCTGTGCATAGCTAACTAAAACTTCAAATAGGGCTGAGTCTCCCCCTTGTTTGTTTCATCTCTTATGCCGTTTGTCGCATTACATCTGTTATGCATGATATGCGACAGTCCTGAAGCTGAAAAGGCGTGCAATGATGCAAAAAAAATTCCCCTCAAATTCATTACAACTAAAGTTACAAGCCTGTTTTGAAAATGTAAGGAGTAGAAAGTAGAGATATTTGTATAAAAATGTAGGGAGTAAAAATAAAAAGTCGACAGAAAAATACACTTAAGTAATGTACAGATACGTGAACTTAGTAGAGCAGTGAAGTATTTGTACTTCCCACCTGTCTAGCCCCAGTTTGTGCCTCGTGTATGTATAACTATTAAAATAATGAAATTAAACCATATACCATCAACCATCAACTTGATTTATTGTGCAGCGTATAGAATATTTTTTTTAGCCAGAAGGTTAGGAGAGTCTTGAGGACTTTGGAAACAACTTCAGAACAGCAGTAAGTGTTAAACCTTCTAGATTTTGTAAAGCTCAGTCATACATAGCTTGAATGCAATGGTAACATATGAGAGGCATAAACCTGGGTTAGCCTCGCTCTAAAAGTCAGGATCTCATGATGCAATAAAGAAAAAAAGATCCTTTAAAGCAATTTCAAACATCCAAGATTATCAACATCCTCTGACAAGGAACAATGAACTGGGTAAACACACACAGATTGCAGTTTCTATACAAGGATCATGACTTCCAGGAACCCAATCCTGGTCTTAAATCAGAACACGATTTTGAGGTCTGGTTCTTGGGGGGGAATATCAGGCAGAAAAGAGAAGCCACACAATGACTTCTCCCACTGGGCAGCACAGCCAGCCCCTCCTCCTCCTATCCAGCAGCAGCCATCCACAGACAGAGCACAGCCATGTGACCACAGACATTACATCACACACACAGCACGCAAACTAGGCCTTGCACCGTTTGTTTCCATGGCAACAGATATGTGGTGGTTGCAGGGGCCGAGATGACCAGATCCGAGGTGACAGCCAGCTGTGGCCCGGCCCCCTTGCAGCCTGGTTGCGAGTATTGCTGCTAACCTTGAGCTGCCCTTTGAGGTCTAGTACTACTCTGTACTAGAGACAAGGTCCTCCTCTTTTATTTGTATTTTTAAATTCTTCATATTTTCCATCATCAACTATTGTTTTTTGGTCTCTTATAAATCCCAGTGATATAGATTAGCTTTATTCCTAATTCTCATTCGGGCCAGTAAGATTAGAGTACACGGTTCCCCTTTCATAACAGCGAGTTGCAGTGATGAGACCTAATCCTGCTACGAGCCATCTGGTAACTGCGACTTGATGTTGTGTAACTATGCATAATGAAGTAGGTAAATCGGTTACGTTATCTACCTTATATAGATTTGATTATTGGTTAAAATATACTTGATGATGCGCTTGTGTCATTAATGGGATTTTATGCGAACAAGTACACTCATATAATAGTCGTTATTTTGACCTTTTGTATGATGCAGCATTTTATTGAACTGCACAGATAATTTCAGGTGCATATAATTGAGAATTGAATCTCGTTTGCTCTAGCCTTACACTGTTTGATCTTTTGAATACTGTATTATTTGGTTGAGCGGGTCACATGGCGGCGATTAGACTGCACATGAAGAGTGAAAACGCTTCTATGTTTCCCTCCCACGTGGTTCGCGTATATCAGAGTATTATGGCTGCGCAATTATAGTCCTGTGGATGTCAGACGTCGGCGAGTTGAACAAGTAAGAACCTCATCTCTCGTCCATCTTTCATTCTTCTGATCGTGCTTTGTTCTCGGTTTACTATGCGGCATTTTTTTTGTTTATTTTCTTTTGCAGCGATTGATGGTGTTGTGGTTGACGCGTGGTCATTTTGTGGATATAAGTGATTGGTTAAAGGATTGCTGTTGTTTAGTAATTATGGGGGCGTTTGTAGTGTGGTTTGTTTGTTTGGGTGCGAAGGAGCATGGAGTTACAAATGTCTGTAAAGCAACATTTGAGAGATTTCTACAGGTCATTAGAATTTCTGTTATCTGACCATCAGAGCCGTTAATTGATACCGGGAAGGGAGGGCTTTTGCGCATAACAAACATTTAATATTAAGTTTTGTCCCCTTTTCCACGTTCCCAGTAGAAGGTGCATCATCTGTTTGTAACCCCCTTCCTGTCTTCCTCCGCGATGAAGTGCCTGCTCTGCAACCACCATATCCGCTACATCTCTTACCGTCATCGCTCTTCCAGTTTTCTTGTCTCTGTCTACGCGTACTCTCGAATCATTCAGCACATTGCTCTGCTACATCTCACACATTAACACTTTTGGTCAGATCTGTGGGAAGATCTGTGGTCGGAATCCTGTGAAGACAATACAAGCAATCCAGATTTCCCATTAGCGAAACTAATATTCTATAGGTATACATGCTCCCTCCTTATACGACAAACCGAAGGAAATATGTTTGTGACAGATGGCTCGTAGCATAAGAGTTAGGTCTTTCTACATTCTGAGCTAACTCGAGCGTGATATATGGATGTAAAAGAGGTGAACCAAGTGATAGCTCTAATCTGTAAGAGCGCGCGGGAAGTGAGGAAGTGAGAGAGGAGAGGAGGCGGGAGCATTCAAGGTTTCACTTGACTTTATATATATAAGGAGTACCTGAAGAGATTAAGCAGATATGTATTGGGAAATATATTAGATATTTATTATATAAGTACAAATTAAGGAGGAGGCTTTGTCTCTATTGTTATATTATGTTATGTGGTATGGTGGCTAGGGTGTATTGTAACAAGTAGATAGTACTTAGACACTATTCTAAAGGCAGCTCAAGGTTAGCAGCAATAACTCCGCCCAGGCGCAAGGGGGGGTTGGGTGAGGTCTGTGCGATCAGACTGGGCTGTGCTACCCTCGATCTTTTTGTATTTCTATCGCCGCAATGCAACCTACAATATTTACTGTTTTTTGCCATAGAAGAGCCGTGCTAAGGCCTGTAGGTTTGCGTGAGCGTGTTGTTGTGAGTTGTATACTTGGAGGTCCTTTTACTGTGCGAGATGTGGCTGATGCTCTGTCTGAATGGGTGATGTGTGCTGCGTGAAGTATAGGATGGAAGGAGGGGCTGGCCTGTGCGTGCCTTCAGTGTGTGCATGTAGGAGTTCTATATTTATTGGTGTGTTTTGTCTGCATTGATCAGAGGATAGACCCCCCCAAGTAGAGACCAGACCTTTTGTCGAAAATGTGTTTGAGTATATGACTTAGGTATTTTGGAGTTTGTCCTGAAGTGCATTTGTATACCTGCGTTTGTATTGACTTGCAATCTTGATGTGTTTACCACAGTTATCATAATGTCACTGTGTCAGAGGAATGTTTGAGTAATCTGGAGGATTTTGTAATTTTGTCATGCTAAAGCGTATCTTTTTTCTCTTTTTATTTGAATCATGAGATCACTGAACTAGGTTGTATGACGAGGCTATGAACCCAGGTTATTTTCGTGGTTCTCTCATACGTTTATGTGGGTTTTTTGAATGCTGTTAGGGTCCAATTTGCTATTTTCATAAGCTGAATGTATTTGATGAAAGCTATGTTGACAAAATCTTGTGTAAGAGTTTAAACACTTAACCTGCGTTTCTGAAGGTGTTCCAAAGGTCAAGACTCTCCTAATTTGGCTATACATTACTTATGTGTCTTATACTGCTCAATTTCCAATTAATGTAATTGGTGATGATGGTGAGGTATTAATGGTTTTATTTTTTCGATAATTATTTATTAATAGTTAGTATTTCTATAATCGGAGGAACTGTCGGGCTGAGACATTTGAAGGTGAATGAGGATATTCATAATCTACTTCATCTTGCTACTTACTAAGTTCACGTATCTGATTACATTTTATTCTATAAGTGTATTTTTTCGGGTTTTGCGACTTTTTTTTTTTACTCCTAACATTTTAATTGTTAGTTTCTAGTAAATTATCTCTTATTTATTGGTTCTACTTCCTTTACATTTTTATCAAAACAAGGCTTGTAGTACTGATAGTGATTGAGAGGGGAAGAGGGGATATTGTTTTTTTCTATGTATGCTGCTATTTGAGCTCCTTTGTGTGATCAGCTTCAAGGGTCACGTCAGCTCTATGTGTCATGGTGCATTGTATATCAGGAGAATTAATATTGTGCGACATAAGGCATTGATGAGACTGAACTACATAACAAGGGGCGAGACGTCAGACCCTTACAGATTTGTTTTATTTTGATTATTTATGATTAGCTTAATTGCAACAGAAACAAGCTGGTAGAAACCGTCAACCAACATGCTCTTTAGGCGCTCAAAGCACAAGCGATAGCATTAAGTCACTTTACTATGTACAGCCTATTTTAGTCAATTTAGGATAGATTGAATGCCTGTGTTTGTTATCCATTTATTAACCGCCCAGTGTTGACCTAGACATTACTATAGTTTCGATATGCTGTACAAATATTTATACAGAGCGACCCAATGTAAAAGTGGATGTAGATGCGTCCTTTAGAAACAGGTAGGATAATCCCAGCCATAGAGCAGGCTTTCCGCAGACCCAAAGACAGCCTAAACTGAAATACATCTCTACTCAACTATTACCATGAATGTCATACCAGTAGCAATGGGAGTTCAACTAGTCACCACAAGTTCCCTGCCCTCCATATGACTTTTGTCGGAGCAGGAAGATGGGCATCTGTATGTTCCTTTGCGGAATACCAATCTCTGGACAAAAGCGCGTGTGTCACTATTGTGTGGAGATACACCAGTAATTATACTTTTCGTTCTACAGTACTGTTGAAACTATGAGATAGAGTTCATAGTGGCTTTGGGAAATCTGACACC